GAGAGAGAGAGAGAGAGAGAGAGAGAGAGAGAGAGAGAGAGAGAGAGAGAGGGAGAGAGAGAGATGAGGTTTGATGATGTGAGGGCATGTACCTGGTCTCGGCGATGGTCTACAAGGGTCGACATCTTCATGTACTTCGATTCTGCTGCTGACGTCAACTGGATGCATTGTCAATTCGTAGGCTGCTAGTAAGCTGTGTGGTAGTAGTCTAGGCGCTGAGCGCCAAGTAGGAGGAGGGACTCTGAATGCATATGTTGGTGATGGTGAGAGCATGCTCTCATTGACAACCGGATTCAGTGTTTTGGTTCTCCGTTGGTGGAATATCAGTGCGTTTCTGCTTTCTGGACAGTGTTGGACTTGCTGGCTCTCAATGTGATTTTGCATTCTGGACAGCGTTGGACGCGCTGGCTCTCAATGCGATTTTGCATTCTGGATTTCTGTCATTTCGCTCTCCCTCATTTTCCTTAGATCTCTATCCCTACAGAACAGACTCAGACTTGGAATTCTCAGAAAACAGATCAAAAGGACAGCATTTTCTCAGAAATTGTACGAATCTTAGACAACAATTTGTGCGGGTCATTGCACTCCCACCGACCCAAATGTGAGGTCCCTTCAAGCTCAGTCAGTCTTTAGGGCGATGGAAGGCTTCATAGGCGTAAACTGCAAAAAAGTTGCAATTGCGTGTTCACTTGAGGAATACTTCTGTTCTTCGATTTCATGCTCGGAAGGCTTAACAACATGGGTGCAGTTTTCTGCAGACTAGAACGAGAGATCCAATACAAGTTGTACAGCTTATCAGGTGGATGGTACAGAAAATGCACAAGGTACTCCTGCTGACGCCTATTCTTGCTATGCGACAACACACGATCCACTTTGTACCTGCCATTAATATGTCACGCAATCATGAGAGGTCTGCTGGGAAACTCATCAGAAATTGTGCAAGGAAACAACTTGGAAGCATGAAAAACAGGGTGCGTGTACAGATGTGGAGGCACATCAACCACATTATCCACATACAACAGGCCAAACCTGGTGTCACCCAAGCCCTTGAGAATCAGCCGCGGGCCATAATACAAGGGTAGGAGCTTGCGCAACACCCCTCTTCATCAGAAGACTCAAACATCTTCCCCCATACATAGCCACTCTCTTTGAAGGGCGATGGCCTGGGGTGTTTGCTGGCATGCTTGACCATGGCATCCTGCTATTTGGGTATGCCGGCAACCGTGTGAGCCAGGGCCAATACCGTTTTGTCGGTGCTGCATACAGGCCGCTAATAGGTGGATATTTGTGAAAATGGCGAAGTGCAATACCGCACAACGGTTTGCCCCATTGAAGGAAACAGTCATGGTATTGGGGAACATCCATGTTCCGATCTTTTTGGACGGACACACCAGCAATTAAACCACGACTGCCCCTGAAGCAAAACAAATGGAAGCATCACATCTTTTCGGACTACCCAAAAAGATTTGGGATTACCTCCTGTTTCTTTGATTGATCCATTATTTATTCAATCAAAACGAGTCCAGTGCCCAGGGAAATACAACAGCACTAACTCCACGTTCCAATCATGTTCTTATAGGCCTCTAGCCTGCATCCTCAGGGGGAGCCCGCCCCTGTAGCTCTTCAGTCACCTCGGCACGCGTTCCACCACTCATGTGGGACTACCGGTAGCACCACGGAATAACCGTCTGTACTTACGCAGCCCGAGCTTTTGGGCATGGTGCTTTGTCTCATATTTTTCCTAGAAAGGTCCACACTCAATCTACTTCCCTGATTCCCCGTTGTTGTTTTTTTTCCTTTTTTCAGACGATGTATCTCGGCTGTTTTCTCTACTCCCTCCCCGTGATAGATGGGGAGCATCCAGTGCCTGCCAGGCTGCCAGCCTTTCAATGTCAGGGCTTCACAGTAACGTTAGCACTTTCCACAATGTATCTTGCCGCACTTATGGGCAACGGTGGATGAATCTGAGGGCAATCACGTTCAGAGCTTTTGTCCCTTTTTCCCCATTGTTTTTTTTAACCTTTCTTCTTTTTTTGGAAGATGTATCTTGGCTGTTTTCTCTACTCCTCGTGAGAGACGGGAGCACTCAGTGCCTTCCAGCCCTTTCAATGGCAGGGCTTCACAGTAACGTTAGCACTTTGCAGAATGTATCTGGCTGCACTTATGAGCAGCAATGGACGAATCTGAGGGCAATCACGCTCACAGCTTGGCATCCCTTTTCCCATGTTTTTTTTTTTTTTTGGGGGGGGGGGAAGTAGTGTCTCGGCTGTTTGTGCTTCTCACTCCCCATGAGAGACGGGGAGCATCTCAGTCTCTTTCCAGAATGGATCTGGCTGCACTTCTGCCAAGGCCGTTTTCAGGTTCACGAGTGGAAACAAGAAACGACGGCCTCCTTACGTTCCAGCTGCTGGCAGCAGGTCCAGCATAAGGGGCGGTACCTGTGCCAGGCAAGAAATGTGCCATATTGGTTCCCGCCCCCTACAGGCTCGGCAAAATATGGCGCGCAGGGCATTTTTAGGCTCGGCATCAATAGCTGAGAAAGGTACTGGTGGTTNGCATTTTTAGGCTCGGCATCAATAGCTGAGAAAGGTACTGGTGGTTTAACGTCTTAATAGGGTTGGTATGCTTACTAGGGTGCATTTTAGTATGTATTCGCTGGGTTCAGTGGGTTGATAATTCTTTCGGGAAAACATGGCCTCTGAGGTAATGTTGCGTCTACGAGCAGCGGCACGACGGAGGCAGTGGGAGAGCTCCCGTCAGTGGTGGGAACGCTGCTCGCTCGGACTTGGCATAAGTAGGGTAGGAAACAAACTTGAACTGTATCCATGGTGATCTTGGTTTGAAACGGTATTCACCTGTTAGCAGTAGCGAATGCAGATCCCAGGGCTCGATCCCTAGTTCTTACCTTACCTGTACATGTACCTGTGTCGACCCCGAGAGTTGAACCCGTGACCTGTGTGTTTGCAACAGTGGGTAGGCTGTCGTAGGTCCGTAGGTTGTAGGGGTTCGATCTGTAGACCTGTCGGATAGAGGTCTTAGTGAGTTCTAGAAGTCGTAGCTGTAGCTGTTCTGAGAGGTTAAGGTCGTAGCTGCTACAGTCCTGAAGGGTCAAGGTCGTAGCTGCTACAGTCCTGAAGGGTCAAGGTCGTGGCTGCTACAGTGTTCGAAAGGCCAAGCCCACAGACTTCCGGAAGGTGGCCTTTCGAAGTTTGCTCACGTTTAGACAGAGGCAAGTGGGCGTGGGGGTGAGCCCAACAGCGGTACGTCGGCAGTGCGACTGCATCTAGTTGGCCGTGCAAACCCATGCAGTCAGCGGTACCGGTCCCAGTCAGTCACAGTCCAGTCAAGCAAGTACCGTGTGGGACTGTGTGCACTAGGGGCATGAGAAAGGGGCAGACCAACGAGTTACAGAAGTATAAATCAAGAGGCAGCGCCCAGCCGTTCATTGATTCCTGCGTAAGCCATGCGGAAGTGCTGTCTGAGCGACTTGTGCGAGGTGGTCTGCAGAGGGCCCGAAGACGTAGCCATAGAGGGACAGCAGCCATAGCCGCCATAGCTGATAGGCGAGTGAATGTGTACAAGGGTGTGTGTATGCGTGTGGGATCTCCAGGGTGATCCGGAGTTGAGTAAAAGTGAACAGTGGTGTTGAAGAGGGAGACGAAAGTTGGTGTGTACAG